TATAACTGAAACCCACCATCATATAAAATTTTCCTCGCTTCCTTTGCCAACCAATACCCACACTTATATTCCACCATTGATCTTTGATGTTTTTTGTTTTTGTTTTTCTGGTGCTGGGGATTGAACCCAGGGCCTTGTGCATGCAAGGCAGACACTCTACCAACTGAGCTATATCCCCAGCCTTGATCTTTGATGTTTTTTAAAACAGGTTTGTTTTACATGTTCTAGAATTCACGTGAATGGAATGTTTTTGAAAGACGACTTCATTCACTTAAATGAAGTGTTTTTGAAAGACGACTTCATTCACCTAAATCTTATTTAGATTAATCTGTTTTTTCATGTATTAGTAGTTTGTTATGCATTTGTATTTACAGATATTAATTGATACCTAAGGTTACATATCTGGTGCTTTTCATCTTTCACCTGCATCCTGCCAATATTTCCATCCTAGATATCACTCTTGTAGATTCACTTTGCTTTTGTGGAGTTAGAACATTCTATATTTACAATATATGTAGCTCTCAAATTCCTGAAGATTTCAGTCACATATGGCATCTTAAACTGTTACTTGACAGCCTTTAGCTTCTTTAGGTAGTTCATACTTGTGTCTGTGGGATTGTCAAAAAGACATAAGAAACAAACCAGGTTTTAGGGTCAGACAGACTTTATTAAATTGTGGGTCACTTACTCTCTTGGATGTGTTGGTCATGCTCTTTAACAATTTATACTTCAGATTCAGTTGCTGCATTGAATTAAGATTTTCATGATGCTCAAATAAAATGTCTGTTCTCTTTTTCTTAGTCTAGTTTTATTTTAGAACACTTGTACTTAGACAGTTAACCAGTCCTAGCAAAATGTGAGTATATGTAGCCAAATGGGAAAATAAGAAATAAGCTGTTTATAAAGGTAAATTCATTCATTTTAAAGAACTTCCATTCATTTGATCTTTGTTTGGGTTAGAATTGTTATTTTTTTGGGGGGGAGGTACCAGGGATTGAACTCAGGGGCACTTGACCACTGAACCACATCCCCAGCCCTATTTTGTATTTTATTTAGAGACAGGGTCTCACTGAGTTGTTTAGTACCTCGCTTTTTGCTGAGGCTGGCTTTGAACTCGTGATCCTCCTGTCTCAGCCTCCCCAGCTGCTGGGATTACAGGCGGACACCACCGCGCCTGGCTGTTATTTCTTTCTTGACACATGATAGTGGAGATTTTTTTATTACATTATTTGGCAAATAATGCTGGTAAATGGATGGAAATGGAATATAATATGCTAACTGAAATTAGCCAAACTCAGAAACTCAAAGGTTGAATGTTTTATCTCACATGTGGAAGCTAGAGTAAGGAAAGGGGGAGGGAAGGATAGGAATATATTAAAAAACTAATAAAATACAAATTAATAGCAAAAGAATGTTGAGTAGAGGAAGGAGAATGGGAGGGGGTGAGGGTGGGAGGGAAAAGGGGAAAGGAAAAAGAGGGATCATGAACTAAACTTGATTCCTACGCAGGAATAAGTTGTTAGGATGAACCCAACTACATGTATAATCATTAAACTCTAATAAAAAAATTATAGATGCAAAATTTGAAAAGGAGTGGTGAGGGTGCTAATAACCATGTCTTAACATTAGTGCTAGATCAAGGGTTGGTGTCTTAATTTTATATAATAAAATATATATTTATGTACACGTTTTTATAATGTTTATAGTTACAAAGGGAACTAAAGAATAATTAATAACAATTTTAATAACTGAGAGAACAGAAAGGAATTGAATAGAAGTTAAATATTTATATTTCATAATAGAGGCAATAAAGTTGCTATTTCAAGAAATAGCTTATTATTTAGTTATGTAATTTACCTACCAAAGATCTATAATATCATTGAAAATAATTTCTTCTAACTAGGGCAGAACCATTATTATTATTATTATTATTATTATTATTTTTGATGGGACTTTCACATAATTTCAGGGTAGATCTTAATTTTTAAATGGTATTTTTAGTTGGTAGTTCAGGTCTGCTTTAATAGTTATTTTTTTTTCTTAGCACTTTGAAAATTGTATTCAACTTTCTTCTGACTTTCATAATTGCCAAGTGTG